TAGCGGCAATTTGTATTATTTAGGGATTCTATACAATCCCTAGTAAATGTGTAAAATCAATGCCTGGGGCGCGTAGGCAATGTATAAAATATTATTGTTCAATAAATTCTTTACCTAGGCAGGTGTATGTAATTCCTAGGCATTGTATAGAATACGTCCAGCTGGCCCACCGGTAATGTGTAAAGTAAACAGATTTTGATCATTATTATTTATGTACGGTTAGGGTGTAGCAAAGGGGGTGCAGGACTTAGCCAAATAACCGAATTTTCGAACGTAATTTGTATGGAGCTGACACTAAGAAAAAAAATTACGGATTTAGTATAGAGTTTGGACTTTCATGGAGTAGTAAAGGGGGTAGGGGTCATTTTAAAAAACTAACTGAATTACAGAATACTAGGTTAGGATTTATTTTTCCAAGGTAATCCTGAAGTAGCCTAAATAGCCCGATCTTATTTTCTAGGTAGCCTAAATGGCTACCGGTAGCCGTTTGCATTTTTTGGTCGCCATTTGACCCCCAGAGGTAGCCTAAATGGCGATAATTCGCCTAATCTGGCACCACTGGCTACTATGATAATGTTAATAATGTCTCTGAAGTCTTGGATACACCAGAGACAAATGGGTCAATGTCGCTAAACAACACCTACATATGTACGTGAAATGTCCGGGAGATAAAATAGTAGGGTGTGGTTTGTGGTTGTTGTCAAAACAGGATCTCACATCATGAAACTGTTATTTTACCTTCATTTATTGATCATAATAATATCAATTTGTTATTTAACTTCGTTAATTTGATGAAAACAGAACGCAAATGGGTAGGCGAAGTCCCTAATTGGCAATTTGGAATATTTTATAAACTGTCAAAACAACCCATGAATAACACACGGGTATTTTTTGGTAGGTAAGCATAAGTAAGTATTATTTGAAATGTATTTTAGTAATACATTATTTTATTATTTTTTACATTCAGATATCGTATCATATCAATATTTTATACAAAGTGATTGGCACATTCCGATTTTGTGTCATTTCAACTATAAGCAACCTTTATGGGTATATTCAGTACCTTTATGGGGCAAAGTTCGCCATTATCTTGAGTGCTATAGGAAAGAAGCAACACAAGAGTTATCTAAAAGCGATGTCAGAACTAATAAAACCTAAGTGTTGTACTCAAATAGTTTTATGAAGACCCTAATCGCGAGTTATTTGTTACACATAAAGTTTGGCACTCGGAAAGTTTTCCGCGATTACGTGTGGGATTATCTTTTGGCCACATACATTGTTCTAGGCGGGAATCTTGACGTGTGTATTGGATTTTGTTATCACAATAAAACTGATACTCGTGCGACTTCAAGGACAGACTAGACGAAAACCAACAACATCTAGGTATCATGTGCCTCGTACTGTCTGTGCTGAAAGGAGGAAATTGAATGAGTAAGCTGCTTCAGAGTACAATTCCTAGAATAGTTCCTATGACGTCACAATCATAATAAAATTTAAAGATTTCATAAAGGTTTGTATTCTAAAATAACGCTCATACTCGTGCACATTTTCATGCATGTAAATAAAAATCAATATTAAGTTCACTCATAGGCTTGATTCGTTTCATAATAAAGATGCGATTCCAAAGCGTTACAGATAGCAGCTGCCGATGGCATGACTGGTTTAAATGTAGCTGCTTCTTTATGCATGCAGTCCACTTCGGAATAGCACCTTTATACAGCATCGTTTTAGAATACAAGCCTAAAGTTTGACATTTCATTGGGTGCCGTCGGACGTGGTTCGACTGTGAGCGGTTGACCGCTAGCTGTGCTCGTGGTGCGTCCGCGGGGAGAGAGAGCCGGGGCCTGACTCAGCGCTGGAGTCACCAGCGTAAACTTCTGAGAACCCGCCCCCGCTACCGCCTCCGCCGCCGCTACCGCTGCCACCACCTAGTGAATTTTATTTATTTTTATGTTTCCTATTTATTTAATGTTTGTTAGGTAACTTACACGTGTAATGGTAATGATGTCTACTTTTCAAATTAAAATAATTGTTGTGTCCTTGGTAAAGCTTATTGTATGACAGAATAAATAAAAATAAAATACCCACACGGGTATTTTATTAAAGTTGTACTTTTAAGTAAATAATTTTAGGTAGATAGAATAGAATGAAAATGGTTTTCGTATGAACAACTTATTTATTAGTAACCATTTGAACGCCGGCAATCTATGTTGCTTAGCCAATCTGTTTTAAAAACTAGCCTAATGCCCGTTTTCGCCATCAATCCCTAATTTTTAAGTGACGCCTATGAAAACAAAATTAATATTGTGTTAAGATAGAGGTCACTTAAAAATTAGGGATTGATGGTGAAAACGGGTATAAAAGTATAAAAATAAATACATTTACCATGATGAGAGAGCGGCACGCAGTAAGAAGTCGCGGCGCAGTGGCGCGGGCGCACCTTCTCGTAGCGGCTTAGCTGTTGCAACTCGCACTCCGAGTGGTGTTTCTCAACTGATACAATAAATTAATTTATCTATCTATTCTTTAAACAAAAATTATCACATTAAATCATATTGAAATGTGTAGATATTATAAGGTAACAAATAAAACAATAACCGCGTCAATAACGATGTGTTCTAAAATAAATCTGAATTATTTGTGGATACGAGTAAAACATGAAACATGCTTTATGGTTTTTGAGCAAACCCTAAAGTATGACACTTGTAGGCACCTACACATTTTTGTTATACAGTGTGAGTCACGTTAAAGTGTACATATGAAAATAGATGAAACTAGACCTATTTTTATCGACAAAAAAGAGGTCAAAATATTTTTAAGGTTTTTTTTTATTTTTTTATAAATAACATTTTCTTCCAATTACTTATTGTAAAGAAAACGTAATGACTTTTAAATTAAGCGGTATATCCTGATAAAATAAAAACAGTAATAATGCTAAATAACAGGCAATAGTAAAAAAATACATAAAATACACAAAAAATGCCAAAAAATAATAAAAAATGATACTTTTTGAAAAAAATCTGCTTAAAAATTCGTGTTTTTTTGGTTATTTGATAAATTTCTCCAAAAAATGCCCCTATAACAGGTGGTTTTTATTGTTTTGTATTATTCTCTATCGTATCACCTTTGTAAAACAAAAAATTGCATGTCTCTATCCCTATCACAACATTTGCTATGATAGCGATTTTTGTTTTTACAAAGGTAATACGATAGACAATAATTCAAAGTAATAAAAATCACCTTTTATAGGGGCATTTTTTGGAGAAATTTATCAAGCAACCAAAAAAACACGAATTTTAAGCAGATTTTTTTCAAAAAGTATCATTTTTTATTATTTGTTGGCATTTTCTGAGTATTTTATGTATTTTTATAGTATCGTCTGTTATTTAGCATTATTAGTGTTTTTATTTTATCAGGATATACCTCTTAGTTTAAAAGTTATTACGTTTTCTTTACAATAAGTACTTGAAAGAAAATAATTCTATAAAAAGTAAAAAAAAATCTCAAAAAATTTTTGACCTCTTTTTTCTCGATAAAAATAGGTCTAGTTTCATCTATTTTCATATGTACACTTTAACGTGACTCACACTGTATTTTGTTAGCGGACAGTGAATCCGTTAAAAATAATTATGGTCATATCCTCAAGCTTACCTTCAGCCCTCTCGCGGTGTCTCTGAGGGTGCTTTCTGCAGGGCCGGTGCGGTGGCGCGTCGTTGTCGCGGTGGCCGAAGGTCCTGAACTGCAGCGTGTGGTCCAGGGTTGCGGCTGTCGCTTCTCCGCCCACCGCAAACGTTGCATAGGGGCTTATTTCGTATACGTCTGTGTAAAGCCCCATTTTATTAGTTAAGTTCTTTGAAAATAGCTGTGTAGTCTCACAACATCGCCCTTCATTACATAATGATCTAGTCGTAAGGAATGTCTGATGGAGTGTAAAGGTCTATTGAGTATAATTTCCTAAGATTTCAGGGATGTTAAAAAAAGTTGAAGCGTATTTTGGACAAATGGATATTTTTATTATATTATTATTATTATATCGGTTGCAACATTATTATTATATCGGTTGCAAAATTACTGGTAAGCAGTTCCATATGATGCAATAAGGACATACTTTTAGCTTCTATATGTATTTTTACTATCTTTGAAATATTGATCTAAGATTAATTACATAAAACAGTGTTCATATTAGGAGCAAAATTATCTATAACTAGGGGTTAAATTTTAAAGCGATATTTATAGCTATTTCTTAGTATAAGTATAAAAACATGTGATAGACAAACTTTCGATACCAGAGGCCGGCGACAGCTTGTCATGCTTGTAGTCGTGCTGGCAGTTCCTTATGTTCTGCTGTTCAGGACATACGGACTTGTCGGTGCTGGCCACGGAGTGGCTGCAACGCCGCGTCTCCTCCTCCAAGTTGCCTCCGCAAGGCCAGAGAGTGCTGGGTGAAAATATGTCTTAGTTTAAGTTTTCTTGGAATAAAACTTGACCCTCATTGGTTGGGTCTTTTGCTACTTAGGAAAACAACAGTGGTAATAAAAGTGGTAGAAATAGTCCCAGTCTAAAATTTTGTAACACTCGAACTGCGATCATGGATCACTTTGTGGTTCCAAATAAACAAAAAGGAACACGATGCTTCGTAGCATGTAAATAAAATATAGACAAGCTAAGAGACACTGACAATTATTCACAACTCATTGGAGACTTAAAGGAGTAGATGTAGCCGCAGGGTTCTCGAAGCATAACTTCTAGAAGACAAGCTTTTAAATTATGTATTGTTTTTAAGTATCTAACACTTACCTCCTCTTAGCCAACAACACGACTATCAGCGCCGTAACAGCTATAGCAGCCAGTGCTGCGAAGGCCACAGAGACCGCGCCCAACACTCGCTCGGCGTCCGCGCTGCCTCCAACAGTTGTGATCGGCCCGCCCTCCGATTGGAAGGCGACCGGCCGGCGGAGGCGTTCTGTTCAGATGGAGACCAGTCGCTATCAACTATTCTCTAAAAACTTAAATAAATGACTGGCGAGGTTTGATAAATAATAATTGATTTGATTGGTCTTTAACTTTGAGAATTAAGATCGATATTCTTCGGCACGCGGTGTTACCTAGTTTTCTTTATCTTTCTAATGGACTTTACTAAAAAGTAAAAAAAATAAAATAAAAATAATACCCTAGTATTTATTTCTATTATTGTTTTTATTGATTACAATTGAGAACAATGTTATCGCTGCAAACGCAGCAATTCTGTGATTCAAAAAAAAATTATCTGCTATAAACATCCTCATACTTGCTAGATAGCAATACCTAATGTAAACTTGTTTTCATATTATTACCTCCCGAATGCGTTGTAGTAGCTGCATATAACACAGCTTGGTGGCGAGCTGAGTCCGTGGCTGTCCAAAGCCTCAACCCGTACCAGGCCCCGGCTGTCAGCCCTCCGATCAGAACCTAATAGAAAAACAACTTGAAACTATAAACAAACAACTAAATAGGTTGGCACAGTTCAGCTGGCTACTCTCTAATAATTCTCATTCAATTGGGATATGAATATTTCATAATAGCAATTCCCAGCGGTTGTGTCCGCGCGCCATCTCTAAATTCGGTCTATCTTTCGGTTCGGTTTATCTTTTTGCGTATATCTTTCGACTTGGGAATTGTAATTTGATCTTAAAAGAGAAGCAGCTTAACAATATTTTGATTGAAATCGTTAAAATTAATAAAATGGATACACTTCAGCGATAGAACCTCAAGAACTCATCAAGATTGATAATTTTAGAGAAAAAAGTGTAAAATCTCGCGGGATCGATAGTCGATAATGTTTGCATTGCCAGTTGCAGTTCGTTAAAATTGCTGACTGAAACAAGTAGCATTAAATCGTCAAAAAACATAATATTATGTTATTTTATTTATTTATTTATTTAAACTTTAATGCCAAGATTTTGTACATAAGGCGAACTTATGTTATGTGATTTTTAGTTAAGTCTTTCAATAGAGCATAGAAATAAATAAGCAAATTATTGCTATCTAAATCACAATTTAAAGGGATATCACAAAATGACAAATTAGGTATTATTTAAATAATAGAAACAATTTATAACCCTTGTAATTTGATAATTTACTCTTGCTATTACGAAAACACGGCCAGTTTATCAATTTAGGCTAAACCCAACTCCCAGACGATTATTTACGCAAATAAGAAATTCATAAAGAGGTCCCTACCGACGGACTCTGGTGCCACCCTCGCAAATTTTGCCTCTGAGAAACTTTTCAGGTACCAACTTACTGAATTTACACAAAAAAGTTGCGTAGCTACCGCTGGCACAAATTCGTATGGGATTGTAATAAAGGTTTCAATTTGCGCCTTGTTTTTGTGGGATCGGAATGTGGATCGCGCTTAATTGAGGCATTCCTTCTCTTTTGGAATGAAATGGAATAAAATATTTTCCGTAATTTTGAGTGCCTGCGAGGCTTTTGAATTTCGGAATGCAAGCGCCATACTCGAAGCCTGGTTGCTTCAAAGTTTGGCTGAAAATATGAACGAAGTTTTGGAATACAGTTATCAACTTTAATAAAATCCCAGTTAAATTTATAATATTATGTGGCAAAGATGCTACTGTTGATTGATCTGCCTTCAGACGTACCTTTCAATGATGATGAAGTGATAATAATTTAAAAGATCAACGTTTTTCCAAACGAAACGTCAGAACCTCCTTTACCCAACAACCAACTTTTTTTAAACTTGATGAAGCCAGTGCTAAGGTCTACGGATAAAAGGACATTTTGATGCTCGCGGCTGCTGCTAAATCATCTTCCATCTTCATCCTCTTGAAAATCTTCACTATTAGCCCTATTTATACACAAGAACCATCGATACCCAGGCCCTGCTTCATTTAAAATCTTACCTCTCGGTGATGATGCAGCGACGTGAGGTCAGCGTCCCTCCAAGAGCCAGTGCCTCCTGCGTCCACCCTCCGCCACTGGAGGCGGACCAGGCGCGCCCCGCAGCGGACAGCGCGCCGAGCGTCGATAGCGAGGGCGCTGCTGTTACCCCAGACTGCTGCTTTGGCGCCCTCCTCTTAGGAATCTTCACTATTAGCCCTATTTATACACAAGAACCATCGATACCCAGGCCCTGCTTCATTTAAAATCTTACCTCTCGGTGATGATGCAGCGACGTGAGGTCAGCGTCCCTCCAAGAGCCAGTTCCTCCTGCGTCCACCCTCCGCCACTGGAGGCAGACCAGGCGCGCGCCGCAGCGGACAGCGCGCCGAGCGTCGATAGCGAGGGTGCTGCTGTTGCTCCAGACTGCTGCTTCGGTGCCCTCCTCTTGGGAATCTTCACTATTAGCCCTATTAATACACAAGAACCATCGATACCCAGGCCCTGCTTCATTTAAAATCTTACCTCTCGGTGATGATGCAGCGACGTGAGGTCAGCGTCCCTCCAAGAGCCAGTGCCTCCTGCGTCCACCCTCCGCCACTGGAGGCGGACCAGGCGCGCCCCGCAGCGGACAGCGCGCCGAGCGTCAATTGCGAGGGCGCTGCTGTTGCTCCAGACTGCTGCTTTGGCATCCTCCTCTTGGGAATCTTCACTATTAGCCCTATTTATACACAAGAACCATCGATACCCAGGCCCTGCTTCATTTAAAATCTTACCTCTCGGTGATGATGCAGCGACGTGAGGTCAGCGTCCCTCCAAGAGCCAGTTCCTCCTGCGTCCACCCTCCGCCACTGGAGGCGGACCAGGCGCGCTCCGCAGCGGACAGCGCGCCGAGCGTCTATTGCTAAAGCACTGCTGTTGCTCCAGACTGCTGCTTCGGCACCCTCCTCTTGGGTATCCTCTCCTCCGCCTTCCCATACTAACACTGTCGTAATAGTTTAATTTTTACTGTCCAGATCGCTCGGTAGGTATTTAATAGTCATCTTAATTTTGTAGGTTTTAAGAGCAATACAACGTTTCACTATTACAATTTAAATATATTTTATATGGTGGGTAGCTAAGGCAGTGGGGAAAATCTATGAATGAATAATATTAGACAAGAAACTAGAGCGCTAAAAGACCCTGGAGGGACGAGGTCAGAAGCGGAGCAGTGCAGTGTCAATATTACGCTGCTTTTTTGCTCAAGTCCACTCCGCTTTTCTCCTCTCCGCTCCAGTGGTCTAGGTCTAAAAAGTATAACAGCATACTTGCTCACCTGGTGGTTTCGTCCTAACTAGCAGAGGCACGGAGGGTGGCGAGGGGCCTGCGCGGGAGTGCGCCACGGCTCGCACTGAATAGGTGGCGCCACAAGCTAGCGCGCGTAATACTACGCTGGCCGCTTCGCCCCCTGCTTCTAACCTGCGCTCTTCATCTCTCAGGCTGGCTGGCTCGATGCCCTCGCCTGAGTCGTCGCGGACTCGCACCCACCAGATTGTAAAACCTATTATATTAAAATATAGGGCTGTTTTAAAATGCCTGATTTTGTGACCACCTAAGATACGATCTAATTGCGAGTTTCATCTGCTGGACTGTGATAGGCGACAAAATAACATTACGCAGTGTATCAGAGTACGCTACGTACTTGTAGTCTACCTACATTTTTTACAATTGAGAAACCTTTTCTTAACAAGAATTTACATTTAAAAACATTTAGTCCACGTTGAGCAGATATCTAAAACCAGATTAAGTAGGGCCTGAATAAACTAAACTACGTGATTGTCTCGTTATTGATCTGCAATTTTGTAAATAGGTAGACAGGCCAACACATTCAAAAATAATGAAAATTCATTCAAAATGATAAAATAGTGGTCTCCTTACCATGCGGCGGCGCAGCAGGATGGTGCGTGGTGCGCCAAGTTAATCGCGCTTCTTTATGCGCAGCGTGGTCCAACTGCATCGCAGGCGCAGCGGGCGGGGCCGCGCACTCCACGCGGTACGTAACCTCCTCCGAGCCGAACGAGTTGCGAGCGGAACACGTGTAGTTCCCGCTGGTGGAGGCGTCCACTTCTGGATGAAGGGGTCGCGTGTTAAACTGGTTTTTAGTGTCACGATTGCTATGCGTTGTAGAGCAACGCCGCGAGTCAGCAGCAACCGCCACCTACTTGAAAGCCTCTGACTTCAGTAAGTGTTTAGATGCGTATTACGTATAACTGAACGAAGTTTAATTTAATTAATCGACTGTCACCGCAGACGCGTGGTGTGGTCCAGCTGCAGATCAAGCTCAAAATGACCGTTCGTTCGGCGTTAGATACTCCCTAGGTCGTGTGATATAAGGTTGCCTCGCAGCCACCTAGCCCTGGGTGCTGGGTTGACACTGGGAAAAGAGTAAACTAGTACACCTACATAAAAAATCCAGTCCTGTTGTCTCCTCTAGCCAGGGGGGACAACAGAATTTTGAAATCCTGTGGGCTATCAGGGGGGCTAACCAGGGGGGACAACAGGACTGCACCTCCAAGACCTATCAGGATCTTACAACTAGGACTCACCGTGTATCGCAAGATGACCGTGTGGCGTTAGATGCGTCCTAGGATCGTGTGTGACAGGCCGGTCGCCCCGCAGCCACCTAGCCCTGGGCGCAGGGTCACCGCGCCACGCGCACGCCAGGCGAAGCGAGTGCCCACATTGTACCCGAGCCCACACTCCAAACGATAGCAGCTTGGCACCCGCTAGGAAAAACATTCAGGGATAGGTACATAAAGTAGGAGCCAATTTTCGAATCGAGTATTAATTTCGTTTTAATATACAAATGTTATTCCTTTTTCTCTACCAGCTGCCTCTATTTTTAGGTAAATAAAACAGAGCAAAGAAAGAAAACTCTTTTTTTTAATTTCTCAAACATACGAGTAGGTATATTATCTTTTAATAAACCAAATATTAAATTACATTTACTTTCATTAAGACCAGTTTATATGGGTCGTATATTTAGGGCATGTTGGAATAATAACTTGCTTGATATTTCTAATTTCATTTACAATAAACTAACTTCGTTTAAAAAAAGACATGTAGTTTTTTTACAAAAGACACATAGACAAAGAATACTGAAAATTCTTATTACCTCTTGACGTAATAGTTGTAGGCTGCGGGGCCGAGGGTTCGCCTTCTCCCGCCGCGGAGTGCGCAGCGACCCACGCCTCGTACGTGGAGCCCTCAGACAGGGACCTCAGCTCCGTCGACCCTCCCAAGCCTACTGATGCGTCGCCATCCTCGGCTTGAATGGTCGTGGTTTGAGGCGGGCGGTCCCTAGATGGTATTATAAATATCGGTCAACTTATGATTCAGTCAAAGACCTTCAAGACATAAAGGTTTTAACTAGTAGAACTCCATATTGCATTTCGAACTCATACTCAAAGATCAAACTGTAGATTCAGGCTAAACAGACGTTTCAAGGGTGGGATTACTTCCGATATAGGTAGATGGTAATTACCTGCCAAGCTCTCGATAGAAGACTGTGTAGTAAAGAATCGGTCCGTTAGGCCGACTGGGGGGCAGCCAGCTCACGGCAAGAGAAGTGACTGATGTTGCCACCACCTTCACAGCGGCAGGTGGTCCTGGTGCTATGGGAATATTGGTTTTATTTAATTACTGGATATCTTCAAGTAATTATAATAATTTGATAAGTAACAAGAAATTAAATAATGAACCTACAAAATTTCAATTCACCTCATAAAAAATACAATCGGTTTATCAACGTAACATCATCATAACATCATAATCTATTTACACGTTATCATTCATGACGTTCTTTAAGCTATTAAGCTTTATCACATACAACATAAGTGCACTACCTTAAGGCATACTTTCGCAGAATCCTATCAACTACCAAGTCTGCCGAGCTTAGCTGCATTTAAAACTCACCATCTTGCTGCGTGGTACAATGTATAGGATGAGCGGGCACGCCGTCGCCCGCTGCAGTATACGCTAGCGCTTGTATTGTGTAGTTCGTGTGCGGTCTCAGTGCGAGCAGGAGCGTTTCTACTCCCGCTACCCGCTTCACTTCTGCGCCCGCGCCCGCTGTCACCGTGCCACTACCCCGCACTTCCCACTCCAGCCACTCAGTCGCTGCCGACAAACAACTGCCATCACTCAGCTTGGAATTGGTTACAATGACTGAATGATGATTAACGAATGTTTTCTTGGAATAGAATTTATGCTCCAAATCACTCCTAAGTAGATAATATGACGGACCTTAAAATAAATAGGGTGATGGAAAGTATTGACAGAGAATAGAGTAGGGTCTGTCCCATAGACTCCATATTATAGAAACAGATTAGACAGTTTTATCTATTGAGACTTTTATCATTATAATAATATAGCCTTTTACCTACCAAGAAGACGTAATTATCCCTACGTGTGTTTGTTTATAATTGAGGTTTCAAAAGATTACCATCACTCCACTAGGAGCTAGCGAAAGTTGAAGTTACATTGACATTATGGTTATTAAACTCCATATAGCAGAGGTTGAGGCAAATACGAAACTTAGCACGCTCGCTTCTTGTTCTAACTTAGACCCGTCCCTCCATTGCTCTCCAACCACTCAGCGCTGCAGGCAAACAACTGCCATCACTCAACTTGGAATTGGTAATCGATTCCGAATACTATTTTAGTGCTGAACTTTATATTTGACCTTTCCATTATTAATATGAAAGAGATTAATTCGAAAACTTTGAAATTACATCACCCTTCATTTATTCAGATGAAATTGGGAATGTTGACAGTTACAACCAACTCAAATGATTATGTTAACAAAAGGTTAACATTACGAGAGGTGTTTATAGGAATCATTCCAACCGTTGCTTTTTTTCTCTAATACACAAAGGGTATCCCAGAATGTGTGAATCAAATTGGTAGGTAAAAACCACTGCCAAAAATTCGAAAAAATATACAGGATGTTAGGTAAATTGATCCGAAACTAGCCTATGGTAACATGGGCATATAAATGGTATGGTGAACTCAGAAAATTGATATCGTCATTTTAATTATTTTAATTTTCATACAAATCGAATTTTATAAAATTTATTTTGTATGAAAATTAAAAGAAATAAAATGATGATATGCCCATGTTAACATGGGCCAGTGTCGGCTCATATACCCATTTACCTAACACCCTGTATATACAGAAAATCACGCCATCTAAGTAATTCTTTTGGGTAATTTTAAGACACTTTGGTCACGCTTTGGTTGTAATCCGCTAGTCAGCGATACTTACACAATAGTATAAAAGAACATAACCGAACCCGTACTCACTGTGTTCCGGGCGGTAGAGCAGCTTGTAGCCGAGCAAAGCGCCGTGGTGTGCATGCGCCGGCGGCGGCGACCACTCCACCTTCAGGCTTTGAGGGGATACCGCGCGACACCGCACTGCCCGAGGACCCTCTGATGGGACTGGTAGGGAAATATCCTTATTTACCTCCATAACTACGCTTTGTAAGGTAATGGGAATATAGTACCCACTGTATTTTTAACTTTATTCTCCTGTGTTAAGCCCAAAAATAATGAAAAGTTTTGACTTGCTACGTCAAATGGCATTAAATTCACCTTATGTAACTTAACTGTTTTATGAAAAAAAAGCCAACAAAGGGAAGTTCTGTCTTTGTTATTTCTTTTAGTGCAATTATTGATACTATTAATCAAGACACAAATAACTTCAGAGACAAACAAGACAAGACTAACTCACCACTCTCTTGTGTCAGCGTGTTCACGGGAGCAGTCGCAGGACCAGCGCCAGCGCTATTAAAGGCTCGAACACTCACAGAGTACCTTAGCACAAAGATAATAATAATAAACACCTAAAATAATCTATACTTATAATAAATCTGTAGAGAGGTCAATTCTGTACATGAAATATATTTTCAAAATAACTATCAGGGGGTGATTAGTGATCGATACTGATGCCAAAAATGCAATCAGTAAAATTTTTGTCTGTCTGTCTGTCTGTCTGTCTGTCTGAATGTTCCTTATAGAAACAAAAACTACTCGACGGATTTTAACGAAACTTGGTACAATTATTCTTCATACTCCTGGGCAGGTTATAGGATACTTAGGAATTCCCACGGGAACGGGCATTAGCGGGAAAATCCTTTTGTATGAAAATGAAATTCGACAAGCAGGTACCTTAGTAAACTTAAAGCTTAGTTACAACAGGATATTGCGAAATTCCAACGGGAACGGGAGTTAGCGGGAAAAAACATTTGTATGAAAAAATCTAAACCGCGTAAGATAGATGAAGGGGGTAAAACGGGTCCACGCGTACGAAGTCGCGGGCGGCCGCTAGTGATAATATAAATTAAGTGAAAATTCTAACTTCACGTACCTAGTATAGTGTTCCAGGCTCTCAATAGTGTACTTGTTGATGAGTCCCCTCACGGTAGCAAACTCCATGCCGACGTTGGAACCCCCTGCCAGGGTTCCGTCGGCAGACGCCCACCACCACACCGTATAGCCCAGCAGTTCCCCGTTCCATGATGACGATGGTGGAGCCTATGGAATTGGCGGTAACTAAACATTGCTTCCTAGGCCATTGCACTTAAAGAATTAATCTAGGAACAGAAGTGAGCAAGCTACTGGGTTTATTTTTCTATGAATTTTTAAGACAAGAATAAACCTGATAAATGATTTCTACGGTTTCATAAGTGTAAAGCTACAATGCAAAAGGATGTAAGATTAAGTAGGTACCTATTAAGGCACCAGTGTAAACGAAATAAAATAAAAGTTCTTAACGATGTAAAGTTGATTGTTTCATTTACAAGTTCTTACTGCGCATCTATCCAACAACATAAGCTCCAACATGAGTGTATAGAACTATACTCGTAGTTATTTTCCGTTAGACACAGGAACTAACGCAGACATACTGGTGATTACCGACGGCGGAAATTTCCATCCACATGCAATATCATAGGAATACGGGAATCGAATGTTTAAGCCGATAGTTGCTTTCTATCAACAAATCATAAGGTACTTGATACAAATAAGGCCTACCTAACTTTAAATGCTTATATTTCAATAAATATTAACGCCTGTCAACAAAAACAAGGTTAATTAACTTCTTTCATCCTTTAATTTTAGCAATATTACAAAAAATAACACAATTTTTAACTAAATCTATTCAAAATAAGCAAATTACGAAACCACTGATTTTGGCTTTATTAAATCACCTACACGGAATAAGGCCTATATGATTCAAATGCCTGTAGACCTTAAAATTGAGGTTGTATTAAACAAAATGCGGTCTTATAACATTAAACACGTCGATTTGTTAGCGTTATCAAAATTTTACATACCAAGTAAACAGAAATATACTGTATATCTCTAGATAAACTTAAATTCCACTTATTAAGAATAATACATAAATTACAGATAAAATTAAATATTCATAGTAACAAAGTAATGATTCCTTACTTAAATTATATAAAAAAATATCAAAAACAAACAATATTATTTTTTTGTATAGGGCTTATTAAAACACCGTGTTCGAATAAGGCCTACACATAAAACCTTTTAAATAAATCAGTTTAGGAACATCATTTAGTCTTGATTTTTTGTAAACAAAATGAGATCTCAATTTTTGTTAGAACCAGGGCATAAAAAGGCTTCTGAATCATCTTTACGAACTCCTACACAATCTTTATGATACCACCAAAAGCAGTCCTTTATGGTAGCATATCTGCTACATTGTCTTCGAGACAGGCATGATAATATCAGCTTTAATCCTTTAGAATTATACATACGGCTTTTTTTTCTTATTTTTTATTGGTTTTGTATTTTGTTTCTTTTTTTTACAGGTTTAGTAATTTTTTTTACTCTGTTTTCTTTTTATTTTCTGTGCTGTTAGTAACATTCTTATTAAATAAATATTTAGTTACTCTTTGACTCATTTAGTTTAATGAATTTGTCCGTAATCAGGTGTTGACATAAGTATCCAATATGGCCTACCATGCTGAAATAAGGCCTAGGCCTTATTAGATATTTCGCTCTTGTTGTCTTTAAAAATTTACAAATAATGCATCTATAGCCAGTAGTACAAATTAAGGTAATTATTAGCTAGTAAGAAATATTTAGAAACGATTACTAAGAAAAGCTTAATCTAAAACAGCGTTATTTTACCGAAAATTTAAGATGAAATCGCCAGATTTTTATAAGAGAGCACAAAATCACCCACCACCTTAGAAGAACGCGTGTCAATTGGTGCTGGGATCGTGGATCGGGACGCTCTTGCACTCTACCGGGTTGTAGGGCATATGAGTACGTGTCCTTGAAGTATTATCCCGGTTGGATTTGTTTATCTATGTTTTCTGATGTATAGGCCTTATTAGAACGTAGGCCTTATTTGTATCAAGTACCTTAGATTCAAATGGGATTAACAACAGCTATTAATTTATTAACACTTGTGTAAGTTTTTTTTTCTTTTTCAGACTACAACAATAAAATACAAAAGAGATGTCTAATTCCCATTTTTTAGAAAAATTGTATTCAATTCTTTATTGCAATTCAAAAATAATAATCTAAATAATTTATATTCTCCAAAATGAAGATGGCACATCAAACTAAACAGGTATAAGTGGATGTAGTTGTAATAGCGGCGATTTTTCAACAAAAGTGTGTAGTCTGACAAAACATAAATCTAACCTGCCAAGCAAGTTCAATAGTAGACGGCCTCGGCGCAGACGCCCTTAGACTGAGCGGCGCGCGCGCAGGCGGCTCGTGCAGCGTTAGCGCGAGCAGCGCCCGGGTGTGAGCCGAAGCGAACTGTGCCGTGACCGTGCGCGCCCGGACTAAATAGGCCGTCGCTGGCTCCAGGCCCGTGATTGTTGCTCCTTCAGTTCTGTTTACGATGTAGGATAGAGCTAGTCTCAATGATTGTCACAGAAAAGGTACATAATACGACTTGAAGGAGGCATATGTTCAGCAATGGACGTCCTATGGCTGAAATGCTGAGATATGTGACTGGAACCTAGTACCTAACCTGCATCAAAGTATTCCAATCGCAAATTGCCACATATAAAGATATAGTACTTATGCCTATGCTGATGCTGAAGCAGTGGACGTCATATGGCTGAAATGATGAGGAAGAGTCATGTTATCTGTACTAAACTTTGAAACCTAGCACCAGGGAGTTTCCATCATAGCCGCCTTCATTGGAACGAGACCGAGGGGAGGTTTCCAGGACTCTAATCACTATCAAATTCATTGACACAGAATACTTACTCAGCGTAGGAGTCAATAGAATGCGCTGACACCGACACATTGTGCGTGTCAGCATCTCTCCAGGAGTCGGCGCTGCTAGAGTCATGCTTTCTATACTGCACCACGTAGCCTAGCACTGGGGAGTTTCCATCGTACGGCCGCCGCCATTGCAGCCTCACTGAACGAGAGGAGGTCTCGAGGACGCGGAAATTCGCCGGTGGCTCCGGTGGTTCTGAAGAAAATTTTTCATAGAATATCTTGCTAGAATTAGCGATGACGAAAAGTTTGAGTAGGAGAATATGAATCAATTGTCAACAATGTTTTGGAAGACTGGTTTTAGCTAACAAACTTATTAACTATGAAGAATGTGTTGGAATAAAGACTTTTGGTTTTTGTTCAATTTGCGCTTGATATGATTTGTAATAATTTAAAATTGTCCGGCCTCATGTAGAACATTACCTTGCACTGCCAAATGGACGAAGTGGTCGGACCGTCCATAAGGGTTGGAGGCCTGGCAGCGATACACTCCGGAGTCCCGGCGATCCGCGCGCTCCACAACGAGCTCGCTTCTCAGACCCTCGGCACTCCGCGTTTCTGATATGCTCATTCTATAGGACAATATTTTGTAATTGCGTATATTTATTGAGTTTCTGATAATTTGACAGTTGCATAAATGTCCCATACAAGGTGAGGTCAAAATTCTTATATATTGCCTCATTGAAAGAAATAAAGAAAAGAAAAACATTTAAACATTTTTGCACAAGATCCACATCATAGAGCTCTCACATTGAGCTCCTTCACTACATTTTCCAAGACCGGTCTTTTCTTTGGAGCCACTTTTCTCCCTCTGGGTCCAGCAGTGACTACAATAGCTGAAATTCTACGGTACCTGCCTATGTACCTAGCTATGCCTACCTGTAATCTGAATTGGGCAAAGCCCTCCCAGAGTGACTCCAAGTGGTAGAGAGAGGAGTGTCTCCGCGTGCCACACAGGCCAAACGAACCGTTTCTCCCAGCTTGGCTGTCACGTTTGCAGATGGTGTCTCAAATCTTGCTGGTTCTGTATTAAAGAAGTTGGAAAACAAGATATTAGGAAAAATGCAGGATAGTTTCGATCCGACCCTTACAAAAACATATTATGGAAACTACAACTTACCATTAACATGAATATTTAAAGTTTTCGAAAGCGCCGGGGCCACTCCGTTATCGGCCCTGCACCGGTACTTCCCCGAATGCTCAGCTCGAGCGGTCTCTAGCCTCAACGAACCGTTGCTAAGGACCACTGGGTCTGACACTCCACCTAGACTCGTCTCTGTGGTACCTAAAAAAATGAAGGCTTGTTGAAATTGTAAACTTCGTTTTAAGTCACGAAAGGGGAAGGGAGGAGGATATAGCAGCTATAAATTATGAAGCTGATGAGTCCTAAACATTTATAAGTCCTTATTCCGCATGGCTACGTTATACCTAACTTATCAAATACATTTCATACATTCAACATGCTCGTAATAAGGTCCAATTAACGTAAATCTAGGTGCCATAAAGGCGCTTGTATATACTTTAGTAAATAATGCCAAAGTTAATCAACGTCGGTAATTAGTTTCTGTGTCCGATCCCAGTGATCTACCTGAAAATTTGGTCCAATAAATAGCCGGAGATGGATGCCCGCGCGCCTCGCAGCTCACCGTGAGTGATCCGTTAAGCAGCACTGATGCATCGCTCGGCTCAATTTGCCAGTATGGTGGCACTGAAAAAATAAACTAAAGTTAAACCAGCAAAGTTCAAAATCGATTTTCACTAATTTTCCTTAAAATAGTAATCTTCCCGCTCCATCAATCGGCTCTCTGATTGCGATTTCGTTGCATTTTCATTGAACTTGTTACCTACATGTTTGTTTTTCATTCAATAGGAATCGCGCTAGGAAGTAACTAGGTCAAAGTCAGCTTACAAAGATTTGATTACCCGCCACAGATGCACACGGAAGTTCACTTGGGGAGAAATGTCACTGCTATTCGTGTCGCTAGACGTCGTGCGACGTCGTCTGACATCTTGTTATGACCCATTTCTACCAATTGACGTTGCAAGCAGCCTGACTTCTATGTATTCTAAGCTATTCTACGTTACCGTACCGTACCGCAAAGGTACGACATGTTGATACCATTTTAAATGCTGACTTAACACCTTATGTACACATGTTTGAACAAATAAATTTATCTTTATCTATCTTTATCTTATCTTTACCGTATTCTACTAAACAAGCCGTTCACATAGGTATCAAGATGTCAGATAGAGTCGTCTGAAGATTCACAGCATTTTAGGGACACGTGTTTGCGTGATATTATTGTTCTAAAAGTTACTGAAAATTTTAAAAATAAGCTGAATCTGATTTCAATTATAAAAGTAAATAAGATTACCCAATCATAAATATCTGGACCACGTTATAAACAAACGGAGCAGGGACTTTAACGAACTTAATATATTTCGGCCCAGTTACTAAATAAATTGATTTCTTTATTACCTCCCCGTCACAAAATATAAGGAACGGTCTTTATTGCTTTTCGTATCCGGCCCCAAATACATTTTGCGAAAAAAGAAAGGAGGAAAACGTAATTATTTTATGTGACCAAAGAGTCGGTAAATTAGATTTTAGTGACTCACCTTTGATGGCTAACTCGGCGGAAGTATTGGCCTTGCCGGCTGTGTTCGTTACCACGCATGTGTAGATGCCGCTGTGGGCCGCGGTCAGGGTTTTGAAGATCAACATGCTGTAAAATTCTGCGCCTCGCTCTTCCACCTAGACGCACACAAATGCCTTTTATAGACCGACAATTTTAATTAGAATTTAGTTCACTGATTAAAAAATTAAAATACTAAAGCGTTAAAGTAGATTGATGTTGATAGTATTTAGCATAAATAAAATGTTACTACGACAACACCTGACCTGTGAGCTAACACCCATTGTTTGGGATATTTTTTTCATGTGATAGTTGACAGACCTAATAATTTGAATGCTCGAATAAATCGCTTAGCTGATAAATCTTAGCACTAAAAATGTCGCTAGTTTTCGCGACATAATGCTTCAACTATGAGATAACAGTAGTTCCAAATGTATTACTCGTATAATGTCAGTTAACTCACATCAAAATTCCTAATTAAATCTAGCTTAACAATATCTTAATTGACACTTACTTGAAGTACACTAGAAATGGGCATCTGATCCTTGAGCCACGAGAAGTAGACGGGCATATCCCCTGAAGTGACGCTGCAGGTCAATTGCGCGCGGTCCCCTGCCCTCAGGCCGGGGGGAAACACCACGGGAGATAGTACCGGGGGGGACACCACTGTTATTTGAACCTGTTGGGGCAAGATCAAGTAGCTATAGATTTAGGATAGTTTTCATTTTACTTAATAAGCCTTATACGGAGTAATTTAAACCGTGTGTGGCTCGACAAGCCTAAAACTTGTTATTAAATATTAACAAAGAGTCGTGAAAGTGCATACGTTCATGGACCTATAAAAAAAGGCGGACGGAACTCGCGCCTCAACAAAACTGTGACGCAAAATTTTGGCGTTTGTCTATTGTGTGAGTGAATTTAGGGATGCCATGTTAGCCAAAACATTTTACCCATTTATTTTAAGAAAAACATACATGGGCAGATGTTACTTGGAAATGTAGACAGAATTAGTCCGTGCCATTTTAAAAGGATGAAAGGTGAATGCGTTGAGGTAGGCGCGAAATTTTCAATGTTCAAAGGATGATGGGCATATTTGGCGTTAAACCAACAGAAACAAAAAGTATACTAAATTAAAGCTTAATACTAGTACTTCATTTCATAGTATGACAAGAATCCTGAAATACGTGGGGATACGGAGATAGAGGTCGTTGAATATGCAAAGTTTCCATAGTATTTCACATCACATTAGGGTAATAAAAATAGTATTAGGTCAATTATATTGCTTTTATCTATCATACTGAGACTATTGTATCATATCTTACTATCGATTCTATCGATTTTGTAAGTATGTATACCGAATAAATCATAATCGATTATTCGATTGCAATAATCGATTATATTGCTGAAAATAAGGAATTGAATTAACAATCAAATGATAGTAATGATGGTAATCAATAAAATCGATTAATCGAATAGTTCATCGATAAATCGTTATTTGGCAATATCGATTAATAATCGATCCGTGATCGATTATGCGACAACACTACAACTTAACTGGTAGAAATCCCATTGAAACATGACTGTGTTCATGTCATTTCTCTAAATGGTACCTAGGTATGGTCCTACGCTTATAATGTACACTCAGCGGCACGGAATTTGGCCCAAGCCTAAACACCCAGATATGAGGCCAAATAGGTGTTGTATTACCTAAGTTTCGTGTGACATGTTAACAGAACATTTGTTTTTGTTAATTTAAGAGGCTAGATTAATAAAAAAATGCGTCTGTTTAACTTTTTTGACTCTAGAAACGCATTTCGTTGTTGTAGCGTAAAGAGTACGGGTAAGTTTAAATTCGATATTAAATGTTGTAAGGGTTTGGCGTTTTGTTTTTTGTTTTTAAATTAATCTTAGGGTTATTCTCGTTTCCGTAATTTGAGAATAATGTCCATTACTTCAGCTCAAGTTGCTCAAATAGTGCTGCTTAGAAGTCAAGGGCGTATGCAGCGGGAGATGGCTGAAACTTTCAATTTATGGCGTACAAACTTAAGATACACTTTAAAAAGGCATAAGCATACCGCTTTTTACACAAGAAGACCAAGAAGTGGGGAGTTAAGGTGTAAATCAGCGCGCGATGACCCGATAATCGTGCTTGCAATATCAAGAAATCGGGTTCTCACTACGTTTGAGATACGCCAGTGTTTACAAACAACAAGCCTAGTGAATGTCAGTGAGTACACAATAAGAAGAAGGATGGAAGATCATAGCCTGCATACTCGAAGACCAGCTCGAGGACCAGAACTTCTCCGATACCTTCGCGAAGTGCCACTTACGTTTTCTAGAGAACATGCAAATTGTACGTTAGACTAATGGAGTAAACTCTTTATGAAAACTGTCTGTTTGCGTAGAAACTCTTCTCCGCACCTTCTCTATACACTTCCACGGCCGTCTGGAGCTCTTAAGGTGACTCTGCAATCATCGATCCATAGAACTTTACTCCATTAGCCTTGCGCCCAATTTGCATGTTCTCTAGAAAACGTAAGTCGCACTTCGCGGAGGTATCGGAGAAGATCTGGTCCTCGAGCTGGTCTTCGAGTATGCAGGTTATGATCCTCCATCCTTCTTCTTATTGTGTGCTCACTAACATTCACTGGGCTTGCTGTTTGTAAACGCTGGCGTATCTCAAACGTAGTGAGAACCCGATTTCTTGATATTGCAAGCACGATATTTCAATATTTTAATGTCGGGAAATAAGTGATTGGATTATTATTTTGCCTGTGAAATATGATTCCTTAATTTTTGTTTGTTCGAACAGAACGGTTTTTACACAATTTCATCACACAAGACATGTCGTATTCGTGTTGTTTTTTCGCTGCTTAAATGTATCAACTGTGTGAAGTTTGCACTCGAAGTGGTGTATCAGGGTGTGAATGTGTGCGTGCCGGCCTGTACGTACAGGCAAGCTGGTGTATCCTAATGTCACAGTATTTTGTTGATGAGAATCCGTCCGACTTTTTTTATAGGTCCATGCATACGTTAAAAAATAGGAGTTGGGAGCGAGAGACAAAACAAAAGAATATCGATATTGGCATAATATTGGTCGTCGAAAAAATAATGAAGTTTTTCTTGGTGGCCAGTGTCGAGCAAGGAGTCCGGTAATGTGCGGTAAAAATATAACGTAAATAGGTCCAAAGCAGAACATAAAGGGGTAAGTTGATCCATCATTCATAAGAAGTAAACGAGCATGTCTCCCGAGGTGCTGCTGTAGGTCCTCCAAGTATGAGGGCCGGACAAGACCATGTCTCTCTCCATGCGTTGTGAACTTGTCAATGATTCACTCGCCGTCTGTACTGGAAGCTAACGTCTACCTCAGTCTCGCTTAAACTATTTTTTATATTTAAACATAGATTATTTATATAACATACAAGGCTTATAAATTAAAAAAAAAACGTTTAAATCACTTTCTTGGGGGAAGGTGCCCAGAAGGCTGGCCACATTGCATTAGCCACGCTAGATGGCCAGACAAATTCTTTGGCCAAGGTATAGGCTAGCCTTTGGATCGTAACAACATACATTAATATTTAAATAGTTATATAAATTCTATTATAAATAACCACTAACTTCTCTCTTCGCCAATTCTCCCCCAGGGGTTAGGACGGAACATGTCCACGTGCCTTTGTCCCTATTCCGGTCGACGTTGTGGATGGTCAGCTGACCACCCATCTGCTGGTAGCGAGAGTCCGCCCCGGCACCTCCTTCCCATTTCACTGACCTGGTACGGAGTTGGTACTTAGTTGGTTAATTAAAGTGGCAAAATAGATCTTTTAATAAAATAAAACTTAATATCGCACCCTTCCTGGAATAAGTACGCAAGTGAAAAATGCCAACTTTTCAGGAGCGTCAAAAAACTGTCCTAAAAATTTATTACCATTATTAAAAATATGTGTTATACATCAAAAGATACNAGTGTAGGTTTTTTGGAGTCGGTTTTTTTTTTTATAATCTGATTCCTGGTCTTTGAGTTGCAAGCATAGATTCAAACTTTTGAATGGTTAAATTACACAAGCTGAATTCTAGTCTTTAGTTTGAAACAGGCCAACACATTCACAGGTTCGAATGTATTCGTGCTGTCCTTATTGTTTCGTTTAGGAACGAAAGAGCTAGACTGTTAAAAGGATTAGTGAACGTCTCATCACTCATTCTGAGTAAATATCGTCGATATACATAGATAGGTAGTAGGTATGCATAAAGGACGCTGCCTGAGTATGAGCTACCAGCTAATATCAATATTTGCATTCGAACTGTTGTTTGAAAGTACGTAGTTACGATAATTTATGCAATATTTTTTTTAAACGGTGCACACGATAGTAGAATCTTCACCATCATGTTGCTACAATTTTATGATAAAACACCATCCTAAAAATCCAGAAAAACCGGTTGTTAGTAGGTACTAGCTCTACCTCAGATCATAGAAGGGAAAGCTCTACCGAATTGCTGCTTTTACACTGCGCGGAAATTAGCCAAGTCAAGTCAAAAAAAAAAACAGTGGGGTGGGGATGAAAAATTAATGAATTTCATCTCCACTTCACTGTTTTTTTGACTTGACTCGGCTAATTTCCGCATAGTGTAAATCCGCCAAATGACATTATTCTGTGGCTCTACTAACAACTAAGACATTTCTGAAAAATCGTAACCCTGAGAAAAAAAAACCATAGTAACTCAGGTTTTTACTAGCAGTCTAGCACATAGTAACCCTAAGCTTTGCACTTGGCAACAACCGGTTCGGCGTCACGAGTCACGGCGCGCGCACGTGCTATCAATAGGTATCACACCACGAGACCATGCGCCTGCGCACTTCAACTTCCAGAGTTCAACGAGTTTGACAAAGGAAATTCGACGATTCACGGAGTTGGAGCGTGATAGGACGTTTGCCGGATGATTCCAAAAATGTTACAGTGCGACACAAACTGTCCAATCCATAATAAATTATGTTTTCTGCTCGCTGAATAGCTTGATTTCACGCAGACACGGTTTTGAAATTATAAATATTTTCCTAATTTGCAAAAATTACCAGCAAAGACAACTTGGAGTCTTTCTGGTCCCGTACTTCTGATGGTCCGAAGGCATCTGTGAGTGTACAGACACAAACTATGAAAAATAAAGATAAGAAAACTAAACTCAGACTCAAAATAAACATCTGAAGCCAGACAAAAAACAGATTATACAATGTAGAGCCGGTATAAGGATGTCCATCATTTCCTTGTTTATCAAAATGCCAGAGTAAAACCGCTGCATTGATGATTCAAATTCAATAATTTATTTGTTAGAATACATTCAACTTCAAGGCCAAGAAACGTCTCTCATTACTGACCTGAATATCGACTAACCGTACATTATGGTTGACTCACCATAATGCATACTTAGAGTGGAAAAACAATGAAACGTTTGCTCAGACTTGCAGTCGCAGACAGTGTACATATTATTATCAATTGCGATAAGATTTTAAAAACGAATTTAATCTGTCTGTCTTATCTGTCTCTACGACGATAGCATTATGTGGTAGATTGTAGAATACATACTGTAAGTAACCTACAGTAGCTTTATTGGGACAAGAATAGTAAACAAGCCAAATTGTAAACTCTGTCAGCTCTATGCTAACTAGATCGGGATAGTTTCAAAACGAGTTTACTTTTAATAAGTCTGCTTTTACTTTGAACTTGATTGTAGTTTATACTTGATTATTTATTTAACTGTAGGATGATATAGTGAATGGTGACCTTAGACGGAGCCTGTTGTCACAGAATAAATAAACCTTTACTCGAGTGCTGTTGTCGAATAAGATGTCTCATATCCACTCAGGGTTAGGATGCACTGTGGGTACAAAGAAGGGATGGATTTACGTAGTCTCTTTAACATTAAGGGGACAATAGCCCATTGCTGTCGGGGTCAGACTGGCCATTATTGCGTGCTCTGTGGACTGACCGAATCGAAATTCGAGGAACGCGAACCCTGACAACTCTGGACTATTACGGTGAACTCTCTCCTATCACAAGCATTATTACGAGGGTTTAACGGGACATTTATCCTTTAAAAATATGTCAGTCGTCTGTAAAAATGGTGGACATGAAAAAGCTCGTGGGAGTTACAGAAAACGTCTATTTTTATTTATTTTATACGATCGCAAATACACGTCACGTCATTCATCTTTCTGCACTAATATATTGGCTCTTGCAGCGGAAAATTCCACATGCAACAAAGTAATCGTTCTATATCATGCGTCGCGTTACCAAGCGAACAGTACAGTCGAGGGCATAACTTGACCTTTATCCTTGGGCATAATAAGGATCTGTGCCAAACTCTGATTATAATGCCCTGGATTAAGGATCTGTGCCAATTGTCAAGCTTGATAATGCCATTATACTTGTAAGTACATTTACTGAAATTGCACTGCATTTGGAATACGAGTATCTTAACAGCCGTTAATCGTCATCCTGCGGAAACTATTATAGAAGCTGATAATATGATGATGGGCAGAAATTATTGTAGAAGCGGTTGACATGATCATGATGATGGTCATGTGTGGACGACGTGTGTGTATTTTAATTTGTTGAAGAAAAAAGAAAATAAAGAATCATTATCCTTCTGCAACTTATAAATAGCCAGGAATGCCAGGATCTGTGACAGTCTGACCGCCAAAGACACCCAAGACCCAACCAGTGAAGGTTAAGTAGACCCGAGGAATAGCTGGAATCCTTAACGAAGTTAAATCTAAAAATATTTGTCTAGTAAACTGTACTATGTGTTATATCTCTGCATCGTGCTATTACAATAGGAATAGTGATGTCAGACCATGACCTATCATAGAGACAGATTAGCAGAATTGCTTGTCATGTTAAGGGCGCTTTCAAGTAAGTCGTTTTGAGCTGGACACCTACTTATATTCTGTGGCTGGACGTTAGTCGTGTGTTTGCAGAACGCATCACACAACGCATAAAGAAAATTGCATTGGAATAAAAACGCCAATTATTACCTACCAAGAGTGCTTATAATCCAATAAATGTAGGCAGCATGTCCTTTTTAATCCGATGAGGTACTGTCCAGTAACTCTCCAGTAGCGCCAACTAGTGAGCGCGAAATCAAATACGGTAGCCCTATTATATTGCTATAGCACAACTCTCGTTTATTTTCGGACAATATAGATTTTGGATACTTGAAACAATTTGTTATTATTTTTTATTATCATCATTATCTCCTACCACATACTTCATTTCACTGATTATCAACAAGGCGCAGACATTCAAGGTCCACTGTAGTTTACCTAATTTTAAAGTAAACATAGCAACAGCTACTAGGTACCTACCAATGTAATCGTGTCTATTTTTATATAATTTTATTATACCTACCATATGTATTGGTAAACTTATTTTTATCATTGATATTTATTACAGCATTGATTAACTTGGTACCTCAGATCATAGAAGGGAATAGATGTGAAACGGGGGCGTGGCGCGTGTCTCCGCGATATGCCCAGAAACGAACATCGACCGCGTAGCTAGGTTAGTCGCGATTCAGTCGTACTAAGGAAATGTTCTCCGATATTTTGGATAATGCGTCGTTACGTGCAATAAAACAAGTGAAACGAACGAACTACAGGAACAATGGAGTCATTTACTACATGTAAGTATTGCAAATCCATTGGTATTTTGCTTATAAATAAAAAAAACTAAACATTTTTACGAACGTATTCAGTGCCGTAACAGTTACTGCGATATCGAAATCAGTGGTGATAAAAATTCTAACACACTTGTACATTGACGATTTAGTTAGCAACCACTTTATGTCGTGCTCAACTACTGCGCAATGTATTTAATTTCTTCCGATATCCACTGTCGTGTGAAAATACACAGTACGGCCGCATGTGCCGGTCGTAACATAGTGCCGTGCTCGTGTTCTAATGCGGTTTCCTATTATCGATAAATAGAAGTAAATTATAATTTTCCATTTTGTAATTTTAAATAAAAAAATGATGTTACAAAAAAAATAATAACAGTAGAAGTAATTAGTAACTGTCAACTATGTAATTACTATAAGAGCTAGTTGAAAGCCTAATATAGGCATTATTTTGGTAAACATAATTATGCGGTACGCAGATCGCCATAATTAAAAAGTAAATGCGTGATAGTAGCTATTATTAACGTATAATAATAAAAAGGTTTTCATACATAAGCATTTTGTGAAACCAGTTTCGAGCCTTGCCCCTAGCGATTTAAAGTATCGATATCTTGTCGACTCCATTTTATCTTTGTTCTCTCACTAGCGTTTTCTATGTGTGCGTCACGTCACGCGGCCATTGATTGGCCATAATTCACGCCTTCTGGCCAATCACAGCACTTTTAAGACGGTTGCACATGTTGTCGTAGACTCTCAGTCGCTTTGTTTTTACACAGTTGAAAGTGTGTGTGGGAGCTGTGGTGGGGGAAATGTGGGGACACTGGTTCTCGTTGTAGTTACGCGCGACTTCATATCTATTCTCTTTCTATGATCTGAGCTTGGTACCCTATTCATTTTCCTAAGTTTCTTAGGTAGGTATATTATTATTAGTTTTCTTTTTATGGTCGGTGCTAGTGTTGCTATAATTTTGGTATTTTTTTAAATCTATTATTTCCTTTTATTACTTTTTTGACCATACATTTTTTTTGTACATTTTTTTTCTTGTCCTATTGATTTTTTTATTTATTGCTCGTCAGAAGATGGAAGAACACACATTTTATA